CCGACTGCCAACATTGATGATCCCCGCCAACATAAAATATCTGGATCGCTCCCGTCTAGGAACGATTAACCGCCTCATCAATCATTCTCTCGGCTGTTTCAAAGAAGGGGCCGAGTAACGCTATTTGCATTTGAGGCTCCGCATTATCCTTCTTCGTTCCGCTCAGCCCCTTGATGTTGCACTTGGCTCCATCAGAAACATCGTTCATTGACCAAAATATGGATTGTATGGGCGCGTGTTGGCCCGGGTTGAATGTTTCCATGTGGTTCGAAACTTGATTAATCCACAAATCTTGCTTCAGCATGTGACGCAGGAGCGTTCTTCCGCACGCGCCCCCCTTTATATCTGCATCGTTTCCACTCCACGGTCCTGATCTCGCACCAGAACTTCGTGAATTTCCTTGTTGGGACATACCAGGTTTACCAACTGTAGTGGGCGCACTTATGCGTCAAATTTCTCTCTTGCTTGGTACATTCCGTGACACGGTAATCCAAACTAGTGCTGTGGCCGCACTGAACTCCGCCTAGCCTGGCCTCCCTGTTTCTCCGCCTCGTCGCCGGGTACTGGGTCCTCCATTCCTGCGCCTCTTCAACCATCTTCGGCGCTTCGGTGCCATCGGTAGCTTCACCCGTGCTGGGGGGGCCCGCAAGGGCTGTCCTAACACCTGCGTCGGCTCTACTGGGCCTCCTGCCCCCCGTTGGCATGGGGTAGCCTCGTTAGCATTATTAGGGCAGCACGCTGCAATGTGGCCCTTCTCGCCGCACTCGTAACGTTTCCTCTCTCTGATCGGCGCAAATCCTCTATTACCTCCTTCTTTCCAGCCTGGGGCGCGGTTTCTCTGATATCCTCCCTGGGATTCCCCTTTGTAGCGCCCCTTTGCACAACACCCTGGGTTCCCCCTGGGGGCTTGGTACACCCCTTTGAATCCTCCTGTTTGCAATCCTTGGTAACCGTGGGCTCCTTTGTATCACCCTTTCCCATATCATTTCCTTTCGTGGTAGCACAGTCTCTGGTGATTTGCCATATCCTCCACAGTTGTAACGCATGATCCCTTCTCCTTTTGCATTTTCCTATGCCGACTTCGTTCGCGTCACCGTTTCCACTCATGTCACCCCCATTCCAAGTCCACCAATTTCCACCTTCGTCATGGTAGCTGGACTCGTTCACGTTTGTGCCCCACTCCGCAGCATCTCCATCGTTAACTTAACCAATATCCATGAAGTCGTTGGTTTTCGTGCCGGCGTCGTGTCTTCCTGGCCCAGTCCTCACACGTGGGCTGCAAAGTTGGAGCTGTACATCACGGCACGCGACATTATGATGTAGAATGTTGGCTCCGTGCTTGTCTCTTACCTCACTCGAGGGGCAGCGCCCGTAGGAACCGTGGGCATGGCAGCAGACAACAACTTTGGAGCATCGAAGATCGAAACATCAGAAGTCGCATTTAGCAGGCCATCGGATATGGACCGTGAGGTCGTCAGTGAACCCGCGCGCGCAGGCAGAGCTGGGGCCTAGAGGCAAGCCGTGGCTGGCGGGCGTAGCCGGTCTCCTAGTCGTTTTCCTCACCTCGCCCCCTCGCAGCCAGGCTCAAAAATTGCACTGACGCCACCGTGAGCTGCTCTGACACTCGGGCGCGAGTGGACGGGGAGCGTTCTCTCCTGATGAGTGCTGCCCTCAAACTTTTGCAGCTCCCTGAAGGCCGTGAACTCCATAGCTTTCTTTCGGCTCAGGAACCTGCGCGGGCACAGACCCTCAACCGCGCAAGGTTCGGTCTCGCGGGAGCCATGCAAAAAAATGCAAACTGGAACGCTGTGCGCAAGGGAGACAGCGACCAGAAAGCAGCATCATCAGAATCATCAGAGTCATCATCATCATCAGCGTCATCATCAGCATCAGCATCAGCATCATCGTCACCATCATCGTCATCATCATCATCATCATCATCATCATCATCATCATCATCAGCATCATCATCATCAGCATCATCAGCGCGTCATCATAATCATCATCATCACCGTCATCATCATCATCATCATCATCATCATCATCATCATCATCATCATCATCATCATCATCATCATCATCATAGTCATCAGCATCAGCATCATCAGCATCATCATACTCATCCTCATCATCATAGTCATCGTAGGGATCGGCATCGTCATGGTCACCTTCGCCATCTCCATCATCGTCATGACAACAGTAGTTATCATCATAATCATCATCAGCATCATCAGCAGCAGCATCGCAATCATCATCATCATCATCATCATCATCATCATCATCATCATCAGAATCATCATCATCATCATCATCATCATCATCATCATCATCATCATCATCAGCATCATCATAAGTATCATCAATCGTCCCATCCTGCTAATCACTCCCTTACTATTGCTACTCATCGTCATCAGCATCATCTCCAATACCAGAATCATCAGCAGTAGCATTATCATCAGTAGCAGCATCATCAGTAGCATCATCGTCATCATCATCCCATCAGCGTCATCATCAGCATCATCATCAGCATTGCCACTATCGTCAACAGCATCGTTACACTCCTCCTCTCCGCATCCTCATCCTTCCCCTCCTCCTCCTCCTCCGTCTCCTCCTCCTCATCCTCCCATCGTCATCATCATCATCATCATCATCAACATCATCAGCATCACCAACATCATCATCATCATCATCATCATCATCATCATCACCATCATCAGAATCATCAACACCACCATCATCATGCCGACCCCCAATCCTAGAGGCACGAAGTGTCTGTCACACGTGACGGCGTCCCGTGCCCCCATCGAACTATCGCCACCGAGAATGTCCGGGTGGCGCGCTGGCGGGACCTGCCGCAAGCAGCTGGATTACTGTGCACGGTTCGTTCATCCAGAAATGATCCCTTCATCGACCATCCCATCACCACCCACCCGAATCGATGACAGAGCATTACATGGGGAACACTCGGTTTGATCTTACAACTGCGTCCCCCAAGAACCCGTATCCAGTCATGCAGCGAGAGCCGCGAGCACGCCCCCACGCGCGCATGTCAACGTGTGTGCGAATGTAGCCGAACGGTGTAAGGACGATACTCTCCAACGGAATCTGAGAACCGCGTTCGACACAACACAACTTGCTGGCGCGCGCGATGCTAAAACCATAAAAAACATGTGTTGAATGCCACTTGTTACATTCGACCCTGCGGGGTACTCACGCGTGCATGTCGAGATCGCTGAACAATCATCACGTAGGCTCCAGCTCTTCCAACTGCCATCGTCCGGGCCACACGCACGCGTCTCAGCGCGCACATATGCAAGACGTTCTGCGCGCGGTTCATCGCCATATTTAGACCAAACGCCAAGATTGCCACCGCCATCACCATCATCATCAACACCATCATCACCACCATCATCATCATCATCATCATCATCATCATCATCATCATCAGCAGCAGCAGCATCATCGCAATCATCATCATCATCATCATCATCAGCATCATCATCAGCAGCAGCATCACCATCATCATAATTATCATCATCAGCAGCATCATCATCAGCATCATCATCAGTATCATCAGCATCATCAGCATCAAGAGTCATACTCATCATCATCAGCTGCATAAGCATCATCATCAGCAGCATCATCATACTCATCAGCATCATCATCAGCAGCATAGTCGTCATCATCACCACCACCACCATCACCATCATCATTATCATCATCCTCATGCTCATCCTCATCATCATCATCATTATCGACATCAGCATCATCACTATCAGCATCATCATACTCATCATCATCAGCATCATCATCATGAGCAGACTCGCCACCATCACCATCGTAATCGTCATCACGACCACCGTCGCCGCAAGCATCATAATCGCCATCCTCGTTGTAGTCGCCCTCGTCATCATCGCTGCAATCATCATCATCGTCATCATCATCATCAACATCATCATCATCATCATCAAAATATCATCATCACGTCTTCATCGTTGCCGTCGCCGGAATCTTCGGCACCACGCCCGAGCCATGGATCTGCATGAGAAGGGTCCTCGCGTCATTGCGCCAGTTGGATTTTGCCCACAAGATGGCGGCGGGTGAGTGGGATGCTTGCTCGATCACTGATTTCCAAAATTGAATTACAGCTCGCAGCTTGCATCCCACAGATTGCACCCCAGAGGTTGCACCCCATACATTGCACCCAATAGGTTGCACAGAGTCACGGCTTGGGGTCCACGAACTGGTATCAGATCGAGATCTGCATCTGTGTACACATCCTAGAGCAGTGCTTGCACGAAGGGGCTCACATTTGCGTGCTTGATCACCTGCATTGAGAGCTATCTGAACCCCCTTGCGAACTTCGTCTTCAGGGGTGCTTGCAAATCAAGGCACCGCGTCTGTCAGTCAATGGTTCACGGGGTAAGCGCCCAAATTGCAGGGTTCCAACTGGATCGTGCACTCAGCTGGATTGTGTCCCGACTGCTGCGGCTGCCACTGCAGCGCGTGCCGGTGCCGTGCCGAATGGCTATGACGGCGATGGTAGAACAGCATATGCCTGCCGCCATTGGGGTGACGGAACATTGCGACTTGTCTTAGGGTCAATACCTTGAATCGTTATCCTTCGTGGAATGGTTGCCGTGTTGAGTCGCCTGATGGTATATCGCGGTGGGGGGTGATTATCCACGCGCCCCGAGTCGACGGTTGAATGTGTCGACGCGAGGGTCGTAGGTTGTGGCATCAGAGTCGGAAGAAGAAGGCTCTCATCACCTCGATACCAGATCATACAAACCCATAGCTGGAATCGCAAGCTCCGCCACCACACTGGGTCGGGTGAGACCGCCTTCCCTTCTTGATTCTCTTGCACGGAGAGCCAGGAAACAACGCACGGCATTGAGATTACCATGTCTGTGTGCGCACACGCGCGGGAAGTCAGATGTAATTCGGCTCGCTCGCGTCCTCCCCGCGAGCGAAGGAAGCGCGGTGGCCCGTGCCCGGTCCTTGCACGGTGACCCTCACGAAGGACTTCCGAATAGCGAGCTCGGACTGCTCCTGCCAGTGCCAGCGGCGGGTGGAAGCAAGGGGAAATAAGAGGTGCAGGGGGAGGACGCGCAGGGCAAACAAGGCGACGCAGGTATAAAGGAGGACGACGAGTTGAACAAAGGGGGAGGTGGGAGCGGCAGGGGAAGGCAATGGGACTGGCCCAGGGAATGCAGGGCGAAGAGTACGTAGGGAGAGGAGGGAGGAGAAGGGTACAGAAGCAAGGTGGCGCTGGGGAGGGATGGGTGGGCGATGAGTAATGGAGTCTGGGAGGAAATGTGGGAGGACGAGGAACAACTGACTGTGAAACGCCCTACTGGACTGCTGCCTTGCTTTCTTGATTAAGTACTTTCTGTTTGCCGCTTACCTTGATCAATCCTGTTTCTAATTGAGGGTCTACTGAGAAAGGGAAATGGCGCGACAGAACGCATGAGCTGCCCACAAACACGGAAAGGGATATAGATCTGCAAAATCTGCACGATAACTCCTCATTCTGGTCGTCGTCGTCCTCTCTCTTCCCCTCCGTATCGCGCCACGCGGTATACAGACCTTCTCATAGTCGCCCTATATGGAAAACGAGAGGTCCCCAAAGTGCGTGCCATGGGACGTGCCAAGGGACGCACCAGAGGATTTGAACAAAGGACGAGCCAGGGGACGCGCTCTGGGAGAAGCAACGGGACGCGTCATGGAGCGCGACAGGGGACGTGCCAGGAGACGTGCGAGAGAACGTGTGATGGAGACATGCAAGGGGACGTGCCAGGGGGCGTGCCATGGAACCGTGCAGGGGGCGCACCAGGGAGTCGTGGCAAGCGGACGTGCCAGGGGGTGAGAAAAGAACGCTCCAGGGAGCGAGCCAGGGGACGTGCCAAAGGACATGCCAAAAAACGTGCCCGCGTCAGCTTTCCCGGCGATCCATGCGGGGGAGTCCTCGGCAGGGGTGAGCTGACTCGAGAGTCCATGCGGGCGGCGCGCTGGGCCCCCGCCGCCCGACCGCTGCGCGCTCGGCCTCGTCGGATCGCGGCCGGCGAAACCACCGCCCGATGGCCGCAGGCTGGTCAAACATGGCACGGGCTCGTCACAGAGGTCCCCCGACTTCACAACGCCTGTTCTGGAGATCTCCGCATCTTTCGGTGTCTGAGTGCGCACGCGCGAGTCGGAGCGTCAGTGACGTCGGGACTGGGTGGATCACTGCGGGCAAGTCTGAAATGCATGTTTATCAACACGATTGGCTGCGCATGCGTGGGGACCGTAGCCATGGCTCAAGGCTCAAGGCTCAAGCCGCACGGGCTCGAGCACCACCCTGGCTCAGGTGGGGCGCTCGGCGCCGGGCCGAATGGAGTCCTCTGCGGCGCGGCGGCGGCGGCGGCGGCGTCGCGCCGCCACCGCCCGCGGCCCCAGTGGCAGGCTTCGCATGGCACCGCCGCCACCATTTCGGCACACCCCTTGCATGTTTCGCGTGCCCAGAGGGAATTCCACCGAAAACCCACTGGCAGGGTTCGCATGGCACCGCCGCCCCCATGTCTGTCTGCACACCCTCTACACGTTTCGTTGCACCATAGGGAGCCCCGCCGAAGGCCCCAGTGGCAGGGTTCGCAGGGCACCGCCGCCTCCATTTCGGCACACCCCTCACACGCTTCGCGGCCCCAAAGGAAGCTCCACCGAGGGCGATACTCACAACGGTGGCATTCACAACTGCAGATGGCCGGGTCCTTCGCCAAGAGAATCCTCTGGTTGGCCCCAGGCTGGGAGGGGGAGATGGCTTCCGAAACTGCCAACGTGGCTTCCAAAACGGCCAAGGTTATCCCGACAGGGCCAAAGATAACCGCATGATGCCCCTAAGTCCGCCCAAGAAACCACCAACACGGCCCAAGGTAGCCTCAAAATGACCGAAGACGCCCAAAGAGGCCCCAAAAAAACATGCGCGACGGCCCAGGAAGCCCCCAAAAGGTCCCCAAAAAAGGCTTGAAATTACCCAAATCACTCACTCATGTTTGCAAAATGATGTTGGCTGTAACATAGTTTCGGCCTCCCGACGGCCCAAATTGGCCCAGGAGGCCCCCAGAATCGCCCCAAGATCGTTCAAAAGGCCTCCATGATAACCCCATGACGGCCCAAGAAGCCCCCAAGACGGCCCCAAGAGGTCCGCGGGATTGGTTTCTTTCAATGCCCAGCTGTCCTAAATCCATTCGCTCTCTCTCTCTGCATATCCATGCCCCCTCCCTCTTGCTCCCTGTTTGGGCACCACTCGCGCGCAGCAGCAGCGAGCGCGGTTTGCGATGGCGGGCGGGGTTTGGATTCTGGCCAGGTCTGACGCCGTCGGATGCCGTTTGGGGAACCTGGCTGGGCCATCTTGGAACTCTCTTGGGGCGTTTCAGAACCGTCTTATGTTGGGCGTTTGGGGAAGTTTTGGGGGCCCTCTTGGGGGCCTTCCCCGCACGTGGCGCTACGGCGGAGCGTCGAGACAAGGAGGGGGGGATGAGGAATACGAGGATGAGCGGGGGAGATGAGGATGCAAAGCAGTTCGTTTCGATGGGCGGCGGAAAAGGAAAAGGGGAGACGGGGGGGAAACTGTGGAGGATGGGAGTGAGGAGGATGAGGACGACGAACCCAAGGACGAGAAGAAGACGAAAACGAGGATAATGGAGGGAGAAGCAGGAAGGGGAGGAGGAGGAGGAGGAGGAGGAGGAGGAGGAGAGATGAGGGGAGTGATGATGGGCACGGGGGGGGAAAGAGCAGCATCAACAGCAGCATCAACTGAAATAGCAGGGGGGCAGGCGGAGGAAGGCTGATTGTGATACACTCTGCACGAGGTGGAAGCACGTGTGGCCCGCCTGCGTCGCTACCCGAGGTTATTGGACGACCACTCCGAAGCACGCGCAGCTGACATATTCGCTTCAAAATTCAGAACTGTTTTGTTCGTGCACATGCGGCTCGCGTGTTCCGCCGAGAACTTTCGAAATCCACCCGGGGTTCAATGCTGAGGTTTTGTAGCGTGAAGGCTGAGCCCTGGAACTAACACCAGAGCGTGCAGAGACGGGGAATGTACAACATCACCCCTGACAGAACCCCCCCCCCTTAAGGATCTGTAGGGGGGGGGATAATCCTCATCTTCCTCCTCCTCCTCCTCTGCCTCCCAATGCCTCTCCTCGCCCTCCTCTTCCCCCATCCTGGGGATCCTCCGATGCAGGCGCTACTTAGATGCACGGTTCGGATGATGGGCAAGTCACGGACACGGGCGGATCTGGCCTTGACCATATGGAGCCGTCACGCGGGTCTGAGGGGCAAGGGCAAGGTCCTCCGGAAGGTCCAACAGCATATCTATGATGGCGTTCCTGATGGCGGGGGCGGCGGCGGCAGTTTGTGAAGGCGCCCCTTCTCCTTTCCTCCTCCTCCTCCTCCACCTCCTCCTCCTCCTCCTCCTCCTCCCCCTCCTGATCATCCCCCTCCTCCTCTTCCTCCTCCTCCTAATCCTCCTTCTCCTCCGCCTCCTCCTCCTCCTCTAGACCATCTCTGCCACATTCTACACATCCACCATGATATCAGGCATAGCTCACATTCCGCATCGTCATGATCAGCACACTGCTGGCCTGGCAGGCCGCTGTCTCCCGCCGCTGCTGGCCGTGATTGCCTCGTGCATGCCATGTAGTCCTACAGTAGGCGTGAGCGGAGCTCGCCTGTCGTGGGCCCGCTGCGGCGATTCACCGCTTTAGCAGTTCAGGGTGGTTATCAAGCGCGGTTGACAGCGATTCTGGCGGATGGTAGTCATCATCGTAACCACCAACTCGTCATCATCAGAATCATCATCATCAGCAGCAGCCTCAGTAGCATCATCATCAACAACAACAGCCACAACAGCATTACCATCATCATCATCGTCATCACCATCATAACCATCATCGGCATCATCATCAACAACAGACTCATCAGCATCATCATTTTCATCCTCGTCCTATCATCATCCTCAGCAGCATCATCATCAGCATGAGCATCATAGTCATCATCATCAGCAGCATGGTCATCATCATCATCATCATCATCATCAGCAGCAGCATGATCATCATCAGCAGCATCAGCGTCATCATCGTCATCATCATCATCCTGTTCATCATCGTCACCATCATCAGCATCATCATCATGATCATCATCATCATCATCATCATCATCATCATCATCATCCTCGTCGTCGTCGTCGTCGTCGTCGCCGTCATCATTAGGGCCATCATCATCAGCAGCATCAGCACCAGCACCAGCACCAGCACCAGCATCCTTCTCATGAACGTCATAGTCATCATCAGCAGCAGTATAACCATTACCACCATCACCACCGAAATCATCATCACCAACAACAACAGCAGCATCATCAGCATCATCATAGGCAACATCATCATCAGCATCGTCACCACGTTCATCAGCACCATCAGCATCGTCCACATCATCAGCATCGTCAGCATCGTCATCGGCATCAGCATCATCAGCATCATGTTCAGATCATCATCGTTATCATCCTCATCAGCATCATCACCGTCGTGATCAGCGTCATCATCACCATTATCACCAGCATCATCATCATCATCATCGTCATCATCACCACGTTCATCAGTATAAACAGCATCGTCGTCTTCACCATCACCAGCATCATGATCATGAACATGATCGTCATTATCATCAGCATCGCCGTCGTTGTCGTCGTCGTCGGCGTCGTGGTCGTCAGCACTATCATCGCCATCAGTGCCATCATCGAGGGTATCATCAAAATCATGTTTCACTTGCCGAAGGAGAGTTTTAGGAGGAGGTCAAATAACACTGGGAAACACAACAAGATATGAGGAGACAGGAGAGGTTGGAGGCTCGGAACGATTGCAATGCTCTCCCAACATTTGAATGGAGGCTAAGGTCCTCGTCGCCCTGGGCAATGGCAAAAGGGACATGATGTTGTGGCGAAGCAGTAGTGAGCCAATACGATGTTGCATCTCAAGCAATACTCATTACTCCTCTGAGTATGTACGTCCTCCGATCTTTCTTCCCTGCAAGCTAATCGCTGCTGCCTCTGCCTCCAATCCGCATCCGGACCTGCACTCACGCTGCTGTTGCCATCCACCTCCTCCGCCTGGTCCTCCCATTCCTCCTGCTCGTCGTCCTCTTCCTCCTCCGTCCCTTTCCTTACAAGTTGCTCCTCCCTGTCGCAGACCCAGACGAGTCCGTAGGGCGGGTCGTGCGTTTCGCCTGAGACCTCCTCGCCATTTATGGTCCTGAAGCTTGACATTTGCAACAGCTTCAAGGATGGAGGGCGGGTCGTTTTCAAAATGTGCCACCTGGCCTTAGCGCGGCGCACACTCGTCTCAAAAGCTTGCAACAGCGTCAAGGGTGGAGGGCGGGTGGATTTCAACATGTGGTCATCGCCTTAGCACCGCGCGCATTCGCCCTAAAAGCTGGTAACAATTTCAAGGATGGAGGGCATGTGGTTTTTTTAAGTGAAACTCTCGCCGCAGCGCCGCGCACACCCGTCTTAAACTTGTACAACAGTTTTGCGGACTTGCAAGGTTGATCCCAGGAATGGTTTGGATTATCGGGGTGCACCAATCACGTTGGTTCGAGGTGGTGAAATCCCAGGAACGGTGTTCTGGCGGGGTTCAGGGCTGACTGGGCGCAACTGTCACGTTGATTTGCCGCGGTGAATACCCAAGCACTGCGTTTTGGCACGATTGAGGGTTCTTAGACGGTTGCGTTTCAGTGGGGTCCTTCCCGCAATGAAACGAACTCTTGCAGGAACCTATGAAGAAGGAACTTTGAGGGAGGGTGCATTGCAATATCGTCGATGCGTGTTGGCTGACACTGGTCCTCCTCCTCCTCCTCCTCCTCCTCCTCCTCCTCCTCCTCCTCCTCCGTGTTGTCCATGTCGCGCCCCGAGACGTGTCGGTAGTGTGGGCCAGGCGTTACGCCTGAGAATTCCTCACCTTTTTTCAGATCCTCGAGCTTAAACTTTTCAACAGCTTCACGGACGGAGGGGGGGTCGTTTTCGGAATGTGGCGCGCATTCGTCTTAAAAGTTTCCAAGAGCTTCACTGGTGGAGGCCAGGCAGTTCTCAAAATGTGGCTCTCGCCGTAGCGCCGCGTTCTAAAAGTCTGCAAGAGCTTCACGGATTGAGGGCAGGTGGTTTTCAAAATGTGGGTCTCGCTGAGCGCCGCCCACATTCGTCTTAAGAGTTTACAGTAGGCTCAAGGATTCTTATGGCTGACGTCCCAGAAATTGTGCTGTGTTGACACGATGTAAGACTGTCAAAGCGCAACAATTACGTTTATTCGCTGAGTTGGAATCCCGGGAACGGCGTTCTTGGACGAGTCGGCATCGTCAGGACCCAACAGTAAAATCGATTCGCGGCATGACGTCCCAGGAATGGTGTACTGGCACGGTTAAGGAGCTTCATACGGTCGTCTTCCAACGAGGCACCTCCCTCAATGAAAATGTGAACCCCTGTAGGGAATTATGCAGACGGAATTTGAAGGGAGTGTTTATTGCAAAGTCGTTGATGTGTCTTGGGTTTACACTGGTGTTCCTCCTCCTCCTCCTCCTCCTCCTTCTCTTCCTCCTCTCCACCTCCCCCTCCCCCCCCCCTTGCCATTGCTCCCCCTCTGCCATGTCCTGCGAGCGGCCGCAGGCCAAGGGGGGCAGCGGTGCGGACCCTGTGGCCTCAAGCTAAACACTCGGGTGTTGCTAGAAATTGCCTCTGGCCCAAGGTGCCCCCAGGAGTTCAATCTAGGCCCACATGGCCTCCAGAGTACCCTTTACGAGGCCACAGGGGCTCCAAACCTGGGCGAAAAGCTGGGGGGGCACCTTGGGCCAGGGGCACCTTCAACAACTCCTGAAACACGGGGGCCACGCGGGGCCCCACGAGCCGCAGTTGCGCTCCGGTCGACCCTCCCCACCCCGAGGGGCCACTAAGGCAGTCGAGTTGACCCTCAGGCCCCACCCCCAACCCGAGGGCCACGACGAGGAGCCAAAAGTCACGACAAGAGAACCAGGGCAGAGGGCCACTTGCCACGTGACAATTGCCATTACCTTTTGCGACAATTTGTGCCATCCGCCCTTGCAGAGGTAGGCGACCCCAATAGGCACACCGAAATAGATCCATCACATAGAAGGGGTCCTCCGGATTTGTGCGCTCCGGCAAGACTCGACTGCCTGCTGCAGCTTCATCTCATCGGAAAGCTTCCCGTCGTCCTCAATGGGCTCGATGTCCACTCCCTGGGCGTGAAATGTGTGTGTGTGTGTCGCTCTCTCTCTCTCTCTCTTTCTCTCGCTCTCGTGTTCTCCCTGTATATACGCATACATACATGTGTAATTGTGTAGGCTCCCTCCTTTACTCCATCACTTCCTCCCCTCTCTCATTATCTGGCTTTCTCTTTCTCTCTCTCTCCCTCTCTCTCTCTCTCTCTCTCCCATACCCTCACAGACTTACCCTCTCTCTCTCAGGCCCTCTCTCCCTCCCTCCCTTTGTCTGCAGACCTTTCGTGACAAATTGGATCATACGTGCCCTTCTGTCTATCCGTCAGTTCATCCTGCCGCGCATCCAGCGATATGTCCATGCGATTGCTCCCGCACGCTGTACCATGCTTGTTGGTCCCTGTTTTTCCTTCTGGCAGATGCTCTGGCCCCTGCAGACTGTCACTGGTTGTTTTCCCTCTCCCCCTTCTGCCCACTGTCCACACATGTTGATACGGAGAAGACTACCTTTCGGTGATAAGGAGGTTGAAGGGTGCAGCTCTCGTTTCTCGAATCGCTTCTCGTCGGCATGACAGTGTATCTACCTACTGGTCGCTATCGCACATCTTTGCTGAGATTGGCGACCGATCACCAAAATTCAAGGGCTCTCACAAAGCAGCTCTGATTGCGCCCGCCCTCCTCTCTTGATCGATGTCCTCCAGGACTGCTAAAAGCAGGCCCAAAAAGACCCCAACAAGGCCCCAAGAGAGCCCCAAGAGGGCCTCAGGGGGCCCAAAACGGTCCAACTGAGCTCCAAGATGTCTCCAAAAATTCTAAAATTGGCTTCCAGTCATTCCCAAGTTGATCAGCTGATGGGGGCTGCGCCTAGTTTTTGCTTCACGCGTATTCCCCCTGTTGTGTGCTCCCCCACTCTTGGATGAGCTGGTGTGGACACGCCAAGCATCAAGAAGACAGCACTATCGACAAGGGGAACAAGAAGTGCAAAGGCGAGCGCGCAGGCACCTTCGACTTACGCGGTCGTGGCCTTAGAGCTGCAAGTCAAGCAAGAGAATGCTGTCTGCAAAAGCCGTCAAGCCCGTGGAGAGTTCTGGCCAAGGCGCATCTATGAGAACGCGTCCCCAGGCCTACCCGAAATCAACAGAGACCCACAACCGCCACCGAATCTCCAGCAGTTGATCGCCCAACCTCCTCGGCCCTCGAGCGGCCAGCGGGCCTCGGAAGGACTCCTGCCCTCGGAAGGGCTCCGTCCAACACGCGCTAGCGCCAGCGGCACGTCCTCGTCCGACTCCGAGTCCGAGGAGCTCGAGCTGGAAGATGACGAAGAGGACGAGGAAGACGACCTGACAACGGGCAACACACGTCTAACCCAACTAATATTCCAAGCGTGTCCAAACACACTAATACACGCATCTGCAAAAGAAATGAACGTTGCCAGTGGCACCGAGAGGAGAGCCCTCAGGCCCGTTAGACTCCTGGGCATCGCAAATCGTAAACCATTGAGAAACCAGAAACACCAAACTGTAGTGCAGTGTCATAACACCGATAACTAAGATCAATAACAACCCGTGAACCAAGCAAGCCACAAACAACCAACAAACCATGACACCAACAAGCACACGAACAAACACACACACACACACACAAAACCCGAGCAACACCTGAGTGTGGGGATGTGTTGTGCGCTCTCACGCGCTCTCGGGGCCTCGTCTAGGGAGCGTGGTTGAGGTTCTACACCTCCAACATGCTGTGAGAACATGTGGGGCTGCCCGGGGGGTGAAGAGCCCGAGGGGTCCTTGGTCCGTGTTCGAAGCCCTGAGGCCGCCCCGTTAAACCAAAACCACTGACAACCCATCAGGCAAGTTGAAGCTGCCCCAAACCCTCCTGTGATGGGTTCACGGTTTGAACAGAGCACTGTGGTATCCGTCCTCCCTCTCCTTCTTCTTCTTCGTCTCCTCCTCCTCCTCCTCCTCCTCCTCCTCTTTTTCATCCGCGACCTCACCTTCATCATCATCATCATCATCATCATCATCATCATCATCATCAGCAGCAGCAGCGGCAGCAGCAGCAGCATCAGCGACAGCATCATCATCACCATCATAAGCATCATCATTATCAGCAGCAGCAGCATCATCATTACCATCATCATCACCATCATCATCATCATCATCAGCATCAGAATCATCATCATCATCATCAGCATCATCATCATCATCACCATCATCGTCAGTAGCAACAGCAGCGGCAGCAGCAGCATCAGCCTCATTACCAACATCATCATCATCACCCGCATCATCATCAGCAGCAGCATCATCAGCAGCATCACCATCAGCAGCATCATCATCCTCATCATCCTCATCATCATCAGAATCATCATCCACATCACCATCATGAGCATCAGCATGGGCATCAGCATCATCATCATCATCATCATCATCATCACCACCACCACCATCATCATCATCATCATCATCATCATCATCATCATCATCATCGTCCAAACCAGCATGAATATCATCAATCGTAATCATCAACATCATCAAAACGTCTCCTCCTCGTCCTCCTCCTCCTATTCCTTCTCCTCCTCCTCCTCCTCCTCCTCCTCCTCCTGCATCCTGCATCCTGCATCCTGCCTGCTATCCCACTATACGCCGCCGGGTGCTCCCTGGGTGGCTGCGGACTGCGTAACTGTCGCCACTTTCGTGGGCTCCTGGAAGGTCCAGCTGAGTGGAGTTGCACGCGGACCTCGCGGCCCTCTGGGGGGCTGGCCACTGCGCAGCAGTCGCCACCGTCGTGGGCTCCTGGGAGGTCCAGAGGAGTGGAGTTGCACGCGAACCCAGACGAAACCTCGTGGTTCCCTGGGTGGCTGCGATCTGCGAAACTGTCGCCTCTGTCGTGGGCTCCTGGGAGGCACGGCGGAGTGCAGGGCAACGCAGATCATGGAAGACCTCGCGGCTCCCTCGGGGGCTGCGATCTGCGCAACTGTCGCCTTCGTCGTGGGCTCCTGGGAGGCACGGCGGAGTGCAGGACACCCGCAGGGCGCGTGCCTACATGGCGCAGTCCCGTCATTTCGTGCGCGGCTGTGTTGCATCATGGGGGCAGAGCGCTGGATGCGTTCTTTTGCGTGAAGCGCTGATATGAACAGTAGCCTCGCGTGGAGAAGGGGTTGGGTAGGCCTCGGGCAATTCCGAGAGCAGCGAATGCTGCAAGGGCCCTCTGGAATGTTGCACGGCGCATCGCAGTGGAAACTGAAGAGTCCAGGTGGCGCGGCGTGTCTGCAAGGGCTCCCAACTTCGCGCTTCGCGCTGCGCGAAGCGCGAAGTGCGAATAACTTCGCGCTCTCGCGCCGCCTCCCAGGGTAGAAGGGGAGGATGAGGAGGAATCGGAGCCGAACCGCGAAGCGCGAAGCGCGAATAACTTCGCGCACTCGAGGGCGCCCTTGGTCTGGCCCAACCTATGGCACAACCCATGGAGGGTAGGCAGAATCAGATGTTGCGATTCGGTAGGGCATGGGATGACCAGCGCAAGCTACAGCACAACTTAGAGCAAAGAGACAAAATCGGGCAAGCACAAGCCAGGTGGTCGCAATTCGGTAGAGCGCGGCTCTCTGGCGCAACCTACCAGTCTGAAAGGTAAACAGGGCTGGTAAATCTCAATTCAGTGTGGCGCGGGGTTTCTGACGCAGCCTATGGCGCAATCTGAGCAGGATCGACAGACTAGGAAAATCACAATTCGGTGGTTCGCGGCGCGGGGTGTCTGGCGCAACCTATGGGGCAATCAGGTGAAGAAAGACAGAATGGGAAGTCTCAATTCGGTGGGACCTGGAATATTGGCGCGACCCATGGCGCAACGTATGGTATGTCAACAGAGCGAGGCCATCACAATTCGGTGGGGCACGGGGTGTCTGGCACAACCTACTGAGGACACAACCCATGGACAGTAGACAGAATGGGTGAATTCCACTCCAGAAGGCGCGGCGTGTCAAGCGCAACCTATGGCGACACCTATGGAAGGTAGGCAGGATGAGGTATCGCGATGTGGTAGGGAAGTGGGTGACCGGCGCATTCTATATCGAAGTCTGTGCTGGGTAGACAATTGAGCTAACACAGCTTGGTGGGGCGTGGGGCTTTGGTGGAACTAATAACGTCCCAGTGAATGGAAGTTAACCATAGTATGGAAATCGAAACTCGGTAGGGCACGGAGTGATGACGCAACCAGGCAAGTAGAGCGGAGAAGTCGCGATTTGGTATGGTACGAGGTGTCTGGCTGGACATCTGGCAGAACCGTTTGAAGGTAGGCGGAGCAGGGATATCGCGAGTTGGTAGGGCTCGGAGTGACTGGCGCAAACTACGGCGCAATCCTGTGTTTGTGCCTTCTTCACCCTAACGCAACACCCTCGTGTTGGAATGTCAGCTTTGTGAAAGAATTCTGAATCTTCTAGATGCTCTGGCCTAGTCTTCGCAGGAAAGGCTTACATGTGGCTAAGCTGGAACTCTACAAACAATACTGTAGGCCTGAGGGAATCCAAAGAGGCTGGTGGTCAATCTGGCCTTGCAAGGCTGGCGGCGGGGTGTTTGGCGTGACCGTGGGAAGAAATCATCGATCCCCCTGCGTTATCATTCAAAGTAATGAATTTATTCCGAAGGGGTGGGGGCCGCCAAGCGATATCGTTAGCACCACGACAGATGATTCAATTAAATAACTCCGCGGGGGGGGGCGGTGGGAGTGAGAGGAGTAAGACAATTCAAGAGAGGCCTGAAGACGGCCTCTTCGAAGGCAAGACCCCTGGCCGACGGACAAATTTCCTAAGACAGCCCTGAGACAATCAACAAATCACTGGATACGATCTAAAACCACTCGGCTCTCATTGGAATCCGGGCTCCCGAAGAGGCCTCCCAACAGACCCAAAGAAGCCTCTACGATGCATCTTGCCAACGACCCGAGCACGCTGGCGGGATGGGCCCAAGGCCACTAGATCCGCCGCTCCCTTTTGCTTGCAACGGTGTGCTTGGCGTGTCAAATGTTCGAATACTTTCTGGCCCTTCCAAAATAATCCCAGTGGCCTCTGGCCCAACCTGCCAGCCACCCGGACCCCAGAAATGCCCCAAGGGCACGAAAATCCGCCCCTAAGATTGCCAAGATGGCCCCAAAGACGGTCCCAAGACGCCTGCAAGACGGCCAATGGCCCCAAGAGGGCCCAAGATGTGGCCCCAAGTTGCCTCCACAACGGCCCAAGATGGACCCAACTCAGCCCAAGATGGCCTCGAGTCGACCCACGAGGCTCGCAATACGACCCATGAGGGCGCTAAGAGGCCACGCAGCAGGGCCCGAAGAGGCCAGCAACATTGATGTCAACTCCTTCAGGCGTCCGACAACGCAAGACGGCCCGCAGAGGCCTCCAAGGTAGCTCCAAGACGGCCCGCAGAGCCCCAGAGAGGGCCCCAAGACGGAGCAAGAGGGCCCCAAGACCCGCCCAACAGGGCTCCAATAATGCCCAAAGGAGGCCCCAAGACGGCCCAAGAGACCTTTTAAGACGGCCCTACAGCGCTTCAAGCACGCCCCATGACGGCCCAGAGGGGCCCCCAAGACTGCCTCCGAAGGCGTCAGACGGGCCAGGAGAGCCCAAAGACTGCCCAAGAGGCCCCCCAGAGGCCACCAGGAGGCCCCCAAGAGGCCCCCAAGAAGCCCCCAGGAAGCCCCCAGGAGGTCTCAAGAGAGCCCCAAGAAGCTCCCAAGAGACATCCCCATCCTCCTCATCATTCTACTTCCCCTCCTCCTCCTCCTCCTCTTCCTCATTTTGATCTTCCTCCCCCGAATGTCCTCCGAAGGGTTTCGCACATTGTCGAACAGGTTGGCCAAACTCTGGCCTAACAATTAGCCAATGGCGATTCCAAAAGGCAGAAGGCCGCAGTTGTTCGCCGTAGGCGACTTCGGTGAATGCCACACGCGTGCACACATATACACGTGCAAGGTACATTCATAATGCGTTGTTCCCCAATCAGTGCTTGCACCTGCGAGTTGTCACTTCCTTTCTGAGGAACTGGGCCTGCGGTCCGCTCTGGCCGCCATGTGGCCGCCAACCACCTCGTCGCCGCCAACTTTGCAGTGAACCGCATTGCATTGCATTGGTTCGCATTGCATTGCATTGAATCGCATTGCTGCGTCTTGATTTGCATTAAGTTGCACTGGTTTGCATTGAGTTGCATTGCTTTGCGCTACTTTCCATCGTTTTGCCTTGAGTTGCATCGCTTTGCATTGCAGTGCATGTGAATGAACCGTATGCGTACCTTGCTCGTACCGCGGGCCAGGTAAGGCACTCTCGTGCGACTCTGGCACCACCGGCGCCCGACGAGGTGCAACTGCTGGAGCACAATCTGGGATATCCAAAACTTCCAAATGCTGCTCCAGGGACACCGAGGGGAACGCCGCCGGCCCGTTTGGCGCGCCCTGGACGACGAGGACGACGCGTCGTCGTCGCGCCCAGCATCTGGCGCCTCGCCTTCAGCGAGAGCCGCCGCTCCTGGGCGAGTGCGCCGCGCGCCGTGGCTCAGCCGAAGGCTCGCGAAGATCTGACCGCTCCCCTTCTGGACTCCTCCTCCCCTCCTCCTCGTCCTGGGTACCTCCCCCTATCGTCTTCCTTTTCCTCCGGCTCCTCCTCCTCCTCCTCCTCCTCCTCCTGCTCCTCCTCCTCCTCCTCCTCCTCCTCCTCCTCCTCCTCCTCCTCCTCCTCCTCCTCCTCCTCCTCCTCCTCCTCCTGTGAGCCCGCAGCTGCGGGCAAGCAAGAATCAAGGTGGGCCACCCTGGAGACGCAGCGGGCGGGGCGGGCAGAGCGCAGGAAACCCACTGTGGGAGGTCGCGAGAAACATGCTGGGGGGCTGTGGATGTGCCGCGGGCGCGGGTCGGGGCACGCGATCCTCCCTTGCCGCGCGCCGCCTCCCCCCCCAGCGGGGGCCACCAGGCTGCGCGGACGAGGCTGCCCCGACCAGCGCGGGCCTCGGGGGGAGTGCAAACCCAGGCTGACGACGGCACGCGCTGCGGCTGCTGCGATTCCAGAAGACCCGCTGCGTTTCTCACTCCCCCCTTGCCGCTGCTGCTCAGCTGTCCTGGGTCTCTCTGCCGCCGCCCATTTGGTTCTAATCATTTTCCAGGGCCCTTGGCAAATTGAGCTACGACCTCTGCCGCGCAGAGCGAGAGAAAAGCATTCTCAGCGATAAGCTTCCATATCACAGTGGCAGCTTGGAGCGAGGCTCGCTATCCCGGCCCGCGGGGCCATACATATTGCAACGACGGCGTCTGCGACACATCTATCCATATTGGAATCGAAGCCCAGCGACTTTCTCGCGCTGTTGCTCAGTGCCTACCCCAGCGTCAGCGACGCCAGCACCGACGCCTACTACGCCTACCCTGCCAACTCCTACGCCAGCGTCAACGACGCCAGCACTCACGCGTACTACGCCTTCAACGCCAACTCCTACGCCAGTGTCAGCGACGCCAGCACCTACGCCTGCGCCTACACCCAGAACTTTTAGCGACGCCGCCAACGCCTCGTTCGATTTTCCGTACCCGCAGAACTCCAGCGAAGCCGCCGAGTTCGACTTCATATACTCCAAGAACTTCAGCGACGCCGCCAAGCTCGATTTCTCGTACCCTCAGAACATCAGCGACGCCGCCGAGTTCGATTTCCTCACGCCCAGGACTTCAGCGAAGCCACAGAGTTCGATTTCCTGTACTCCGATGTCTACGTCTACCCGTTCGCAAAGACGACTGACATTTCTCACAATTTCGGACAGTCAATTATACCCACATGGAACGGAGATCCCGCGAAGTGGAGAGACTACAAGCAGGAGGTGAAGCTGTGGAGGCTCAGCGAGAACCTCTCAGTTACGCAGAGTCTCGCGTCGAAGCTCGTGCTCAGGCTCAGCGGGACAGCGAGAAACGCATCCTTGACTATGACGGAGGAGCAGCTGCACCCGGCAGCTGCAGCAGACATCGAGGACGCCGACGAGAAAGAGCGCAACTGGAATCAGGTCGGCATCGAGAATGTTTTACAGCATTTGGAGGCGAACCTGGGTCAGCAGAAGCCCGTGCAGAAGGGCGAGACCCTCGAGAAGTTTTTCGAATCTACCCAGCATCACCCACGGCGAAATGAACGAATGACGGACTGGCTCATCCGCTTCGAGACCAGTCCACAGCAGCTACGCGAGAACGAAGTGGACCTCAACGCGCTGGACGACGCGGCGGGATGGTTCCTGCTGCGAAAGGCCGGTCTCACGGCCGAACGCCGCGAGCGCGTCGTGGGCAACCTGCCCGACGAACACTGCGGCTACCAGCGCACCCGTGGACTGCCGGTGCGGATGTAACCGGACATCCACAATTCTGAGCGCCGCGCCCCGCCGCCGCCGAGGCCGCGGAGCAACCAGTCGCGCCCCCATGGCGGCTGGCGCAGCAGCGCTTCCTCCAGCCGTGGAGGGCGCTCCACTAACGTCGTCGACGAGCCCGCCGACGAGGGCGACGAAGAGCAAGAGGAGGACGACGAGAACGAGGCCGACGCGCAGGACATCGTTCGCCAGGAGCTCGAGGCCTTCAGCGTGGACATATCCGAGCTGTTCGACGGCGACGACTCTGCCAAGGTCGAGGCCGCCGCGGCGGAGCTCGCCGCCATTCCCGAGGCCATGGCCACCATCAGGTCAGCCCGGGAAGAAGACCTGAAGGGCCGCGGTCGAACAGGTCCGCGCCGTCTCGCCGCCCAGCCAAGCTCCAGAGCCGGGTCGATCAGCACAAGAAAACGTCGCAATGCTGGGACTGCGGCGAGACCGGGCGCTGGGCGGGAGACAGGGAGCGCCCCGCGCCGGGCGCTCGCAAGTTCGCGCCCAAGGACAGCAAATCTAAGGGCGGTGGTCGGGGAAACCAAGGAGCTCGCCCGCAGCGCCGGGCGCACATCACCGAGCAGGTCCGGTTCGCGGACGAGGAAATCGCCCTTCACCCGCAGGGACCTGCGTCCCCGCCTCCTGAGGCCTGCGTCTCAGAGCGGCTGGTTCACCACCCGCCGAACGCGAACGTCGCGATCGGCAGCGGGAACCCGCGGGCGAAGGCATCGGCGCGGTGGATACCGCCTGCCTCGTCTGCGTCTCGGGCACGAAGTGGGACGACAACTACAAGGACATCCTCACCAAGGTGGGCCTCGCCGACCAGATCCTCGAGGAGCGCGAGGACGAGATCTACAGGTTCGGCAACGGAGGCGCTCTCCCGAGCAAGCTGCGCGTCACCGCGCCGCTCTGCGGCCAGGCCGGCCGCGTCGTGTTCAGCGTCGTGGACAGCCCCGCGCTTGGCCTGCTCATTGACCGCGACTTCATACAGTCTTCCAAGATCGACATCTCTCTCTGGAAGGGCCAGATCCGCATCGGGAGCTCCACCCAGAAGCTCATGAAGATCGACGCGGGCCACCCCGCGATCAAGTTGCAGCCAGAGGACTGGCAGGCCATCAAAGACGCTGGCATGGAGCGACCTGCCAAGCCAGCCAGCCGACCGAAGGTGAGCGACGAACCTCCGCTCAACGCCACCATCAAGACCGGCGCGCTGATCGATGCGATCAACAAGCTCGTCACGAAAAAAGGAGCTGAAAATCCCCAGGCGACTCCAGCCTCGTCGACCGAAAGGGTCACGGCGTTTGTCTGTCGTGGCTTTAGCTCTGGTTTGCTGCTCCACCGCAGCGCCAGCTCCGAGCCTCACGTTGACGACGCCGCCGCAGATCACATCCCCCACGACGTGCGTGACCGAGCCGCTGCAGGACTGCATCGCGTGCGGCGAGAAGGCCTACGAGGTCTGCAGCCACCATGGTTCCTGCTCGGACTGCGTCTTCGGCACGCCCGTGATTCTGGGCTACGACCAGGGACTCGACGGCATCACAGACGGCAGTCCCGGACCCGAGGTCACCATCGCGGAGGAGGAGGAGCTGCGCCTGCGGACGCTCAAGAAGGGGACGAAGCCGCAGCTGATCGCAGGCATGCGTTCGGCTTTCGTCACGGGAAAGAGCGGCATCCTGCCGCATCAAATCAGCCAGGCTGTGGTCATCAACCCGGCAACATCTACTACTGGATCCAGCCCGATCTCCACAGCGAGCAGCACCGTGCTTTACGAGTGGCGCTGCAAACCGGACAGCCAGCTCAATCCCACCTGGAAGAAGATGGGAGGAACTGCTGTCAGATGCGGTCTTCCAGGCTACGACCTCTCAACAAAGCTCGTGGTCAACAAGCTGGAGGGCAGGGTCAGGTCCAACCTTGCCAGTGGCAATGAGTGCGCGAGTTCACGCTGCATTCCCTTGCCAGCCGCGGACCTCACTACAGCGACTTGTCGTGAAGATCGACCCGAGTAAGATCCCGCAGCTCAAGAAGGATCGGGCCAAGTCCACGCTCATGACCGGACTGCCCCTGCAGTCCATGCCCCGGCTGCGCGAAGAGTTCGGCGCCCAGCTCGCCGTCTCGGTCGAGTGGCCGAGGTGCTGCGACGGACGGGGCCCCAACAAGAACTCGACCGCCAAGCAGCTGAAGCAGCAGCTCCCGCGAGTCAGAGACTTCGATGGCTGCGCGTTCGACCCCAAGACGAAGAAGGGCGCCCACGTAAAGAAGCCGCGGAGGATCGCCACCGACCACTACGGGTTCGACGACCCGCCCCCTGCGATGGGTCGCATCCCCACGCCGAGGCTCGCGGCAAGATCGCGAAGAACAGCGAGAATTACACGTACAAGCTCGCGAAGGTGTTGGCGGACAACTGCAGCGACCAAGCCGCCGACCCCTACGCGAAGCACACCCTACAGCACGAAGGGCGAGCAGGAGGACGGTTCCGGCCGCCGCAGCCGCACGGGAACCAGTGCTCACGGCCGCGGAGGAGCGGGCGCTCAGTTCCGCCGCGATGCAGCTCCACGCGAACACGGAGCACCCGTCCAACGACTCGCTTGCCCGAGCTATCCGCGTGACAGGCGGATCGCAGAGATCGATGGAGATGGCTCTCAACCTCTACTGCGAGGTCTGCGCAGCACATCAACGGCCACTCCCACACCTGCCGGGCAGGATCAGGACAGGGATGTCAAAGACTCCATCGGAGTGGACTTCTTTACCCTGGCCGACTACACGGGCAATCAGCTGATCTACCTGAACGCGGTCGATCTGGCCTCAGGTTTTACGATGCGCGGCACGGTTGCATCAGCGCCCCCACCACTTGTATTCGCTCGACTGCTGCAGATTTGAATCACGCCTTCCGGCGCGCCTCAAGACGCCATATTCAATGGAGGAAGCGAGTTCGAGCGAGAGCTCTCCAAGGAGCTGGAGGACATGGGTTGCCGCGCACCGTGGAGCGAAATGGAGGCATGTGGAAGGTGCACGCGAGGAAGCAGATCGACCAGTTCAGCATCAGGTTCGACCAGCCCGAGATCGCCCACAAGGTCCAAAGGCTGATCGCCCCCGTGTGCTGGGCCATGAACAGCGAGGCAACTCCACGGGGTACTCGCCGTCGCAGTGGGTGCTC